ATGGTGGCAATTGGGAGCGTGGGCTCACAATCAGTGTTGGGCCAACAAATGGGAGACTTACAAATGGAAGCTGCTTTTAATTTAATTAATGGAACTAGAATTGTATGGCTTTTTTCACATTATTCACAAATGAAATGTTCCCTTTTTATAATCTTATTTCTAGTCTTTATGATAAATCTTTAAAATTACATTCTCGAAAAAAAATCATCAATTTAAAGCCGTAAAATGAGATAAAAACTTTCGCATTTCCCTTAACCAAATCAGAAATCTTAACTACCAGAGGCCCTTACATAATACAATTATATAATATAGCAATAAATTCGTGTGCAGTCGTATATAAATTAAAACCGTGCAAAACAAAAGGGTTACGCTCTGGCCTTTTGTGGCCCCAGGAAGATGTGGCAATGGGACAAAGGATGGGGAATGGATTTGGGAATGGATTTGGCCGAGGGCGCCACATAAGCCACAGTCAGGCTGCATAACTCAAGGCGTCTGTGACATTTTTATGGCATCAAATATATATTTTATTCGTAGGGTAACCGAAAAGCCAGAGGCGTAATAGCAAGGGTTTACTATTAAGAGTAATTAAGAGAAAACTATTAAAGAAGATGGCAATTTTTGAGGAGAAAAAAATCAATTATAATATTTGTATTATCCATTAAGACCCCTCTTCTATCGATGCACTACGCCCATTTGGTAATATATACATTTATTTTCCGACACTTTTGGGCATTTTACATTTCGTTTGGGCCCATTCCTCTTGACCAAATCCCCTGCTCCCCGAAACCTCAATGCAATTAAAACAAAGGGAGAAAAGGAGCACATTAATCCTTTTTACACAATATCCTGTATGTATGACCGCCAATTGTGGAAGCGGGGGTGCTCGCCTTGGATGGGGAAATGGCAAATGAAGGAAAATGGCGCGGGAAAATGGGGGTTCCGCTGGGCGGCCATTTTCTTTTGCCAGCTGCCATTTTTATGCTCGTTTTGTGTGCTTTTTTTATTGTCTGCTCTTCTGCCTTTTTTTTGTAGCTCTCGCTGTTGTTGTTTGGCATTAAAAATGTTTTATGTTGTGTGCGATTTGAGCAACCTACTTTGCACATGCTCAGGGGCGTGGGTCGGCAGGGCTCAGGGTCTCAGATCTGTTCGCTATATATTTTTCCTTATTTTGTTATACATTCTCTATATATATATGTATATATACTCTTCACAAGGATATGCGCTCGTTTGTTTGCCTAGAAAGGCTTAATTTGTACAGGACTTTGGCGCACACACACATGCGCCCATTTAACGACTCCTAAATCGCATTGGTGTGTACATGGTGTAGGTGTGTGCGTGTGTGTGAGAGCCACTGTGCGACTTTTGTCTTGGCTTTAACTGTTTTTATGGCGCATTGCGACTTTTTATGGCCTTGTCTTCTCATACACTAACAAATTGAGAGCTCTTGATTTGGGAAACTAAATTGGTAGTTTGAAATGGATTAAAACTGGTAAATTTTTAAGTTTAATTCGCCTAATCCTGAAGTATTAAGTATCAAGTAATAGAGTTTACAAATAAATTTAGTGGCTCCTTTTATTTGTAATAAGCATTTTTATAAGTAATAATGTGTACCCTCTTCTATTATTTTTCGAATTTCTAATCATTTTATTGTTGAACCACGTTTTGTATAAACTTAAAGGACATAAAATCTTATCATAAATGTCTAAGAAGGTTTTAACATAAGTAAATTTAATTTAAATATAACTTAGTTATATTTAACACCAAAAAGGGTATTCCAATTTCGTTAAATAAGACTTCCCGGAGTTGTCTTGTTTTAGCTTTGCCTATTCTAATGTGTGTGGTGCCCCCAAAGGTTACCCCCAGTTGAGGAGCAAAAAAAAAGCACACGAAAAGCATAAAGGATAATAATAAAACGGAGCCTTATCGCTGATGCCGATGCTGCTTTTGCTCCTGATGATGGCGAATGTTGAATGCCGCTCGCTGTTATAATAAAACAAATGGCAGCCCCATTTAATTGCTGGCCATAAATGTGTTTGGCCTTTCGTGTATCCTTTTTCGAGGATGCCACCAAAGGCAGAGTATGGTGCGGTGTGTGTGTGTGTGTGTGGTGCGGTGCGTGTATTACTTTTTATTATTATTAGTATTTAAATTTATTTGTTACTTTATGGCGTGCACGCTGATAAATCTGAGCAAGCTCGTTCGCCTTTTTAATGGCCGCCCATAAAAGGTAAGCCCAGAAGAACGGGCCAAATTATACAATCAAAGCAAGTTAAAAGTCCATTTAGTATCGCCGATATGACATAATTGAGTGGACTTGGCCGCTATCTCTAACGGGAGAAATCCCGGCATATGCAGTCACCATTTGAGGCGATATCCTGCTGCTTTTGTTTTCAGTTCGACAAATGCAATTAATGCAATTGCACAATTGTTTTGCGGGCACTTACAGCCCCGAGTACAGAAGTTGTCGCCCGGGGGAAAAGTTTGTGCAGTTTGTAGCAATTGGCACATTTGGTTTTATTACCCAATTGAGCCACTAATTTGTGGGGAGTTCAACATTCAGCCCGGCAAAACAAGTCAATTTGGAGGGTTCTGAAGAGGGTTGCTTCCCTGCAAGGACACAGTGTCTAGTGTCGGGACTCATTAAATTGTGGTTGCTGCTGTTATGATATTTCCTCGGTTTTATTGTTTTTGTGCCTCTGTGATTTCAATTTGATTTGTGCGATGATTAATTCATGCTGGGCATAAGCCACACCTACCCAACAAAAGTTGCCAGTTACCAGCTACCATTCCCATTCCAATTCCCAATTTATATTGCCCGGAGCCAAGCAATGCTCCGATGATAAATGAACCTGGTTCCCCCCGATCTTCGGGCTTGTATGTTGATGCTTATCCGCGACATTCCTGCCGCCCAAAGTGTCACTGTTGTCGATCATTTTTATGTTGTTTATTTGATTGACAGGCCGGAGTTCCGAGTGCGGGACCTCCTGCTCCATCTCCGAGTTCATTTCACATGCAGTGATCATCTCTCGGCCGCCTTGTTTTTTATTCGTCGTCTGCCTTTTATGATCGCTCGTTTTATGGGGATCGTTTGGGCCGGGATTTACCATAAAATGACCATTAATCATTTAATAGAGTGCCGTAATGAACTCGGTATTCGGCTGGCTGCCAAAAAACTGCAACTTTTTCCAAACTTCCTTTATGGTTAGTTTGCTTTTTTTTGTGTGTGTCCTCGTCGTCTGGCTTTGGCACCTAATCCTGGCGCACAACTATGCCGTTTGCATTGTTCCACGCACAATGGACACAAAGGACATGTTTGCACTGATTATCAGATTAGGCCATTGTACGTACAAATTGATATTGTCATGTTTCAAGTGCCAGTGAGCCACTGAGCCAGTGTCCCTGTCTCTGTCCGCGGACCCCTGTGCTCTGTCCAGTTTTCCAGCCGGAGGCAGTGCAAAACTCATTGAATGCTGTCGCCAGTGCCGATTAAGAGATTTTTATTTTCGCACTCGGCGCTGGCAAACGCTGGCAACGAACCAGGCCAAAACAATGGCCCAGTCGCCCGGCCAGATTTGCAATATTTAGGCTCGGTTTCCTCTTTTTTTTCTGGTTCGGTTTTGACGAAACAATCGCCGCACAATGAGTCCTGAGTGGTTTTCCTCCCCGTTCTGGCCTAGTTTCTGGACCAGAACCGATCATTAGCATAAAGCCACAACGGCGACGGCAATTTCTGTGGCTGTGCCGGTGTCTGTGTAGGGCGTTAGCCGAAGGATTAGCCGAAAATGTGCACATCATCATCGCCGAAAATCGAAGAGATTCAAGATCCGAGATCGGAGTACGGAGATCGTAGATCGTAGATCGGAGGTCCTTTGCCGTTAATCTCCGCATCGCACAAGTGATCGTATCGCAATCTTGGCCCGGAAAATCGCCCATAGCCATATCAGATTTCTCTGGAAATCAGGATCGCTGGATTTCCCTATCAAGGCAGCTGAATCGATCGAAGTAGGTGTTGGCCATGCGGCTATTCTCTCTGATCTCCAAATAGCCGAGCTGTCTAGTGATCTTCTCGGAGATATGCTAATCTTTTGGCACACTCAATTGTGGGGTATCTCGAATTTCTTGGATGCATTGGCCAAAGTGTTTTTGGCACATTTGTGATCTTGATAACAGTAGTTGTGTAGGGATTTATTATTTAGTGCAAGAATTTCTCTTTATATATTTCAATGTCTGCAATGCTCATTGTTATTACTCGAGTACATAGAAAAAAAAACATAAAACGAAATTATAGGGAATGCACACTTAATATACCCTTGCAGAGTATTATAATTTCAGTCAAAAGTTTGTAACATAGTGAAGAAGTCATTTCCGACCCTATAAATCATAAATATTCTTGATCAGCATCAACAGCTGAGTCGATTTATCCATGTCCGCAAGAAAAATTTTTTTTTTTTAATTTCTCAATTTTCGAAATTTTTATAAGGGGTTACATCATTAAAATTGTAATAAATTGGCAAAAATTTTAATTATTTTAATTTTTAAATTAAGTATGCAGATTTATTAACCTAATAAAAACTTACATAAGAATGGTTTCCGAATTAAAATTAATGGATTTTTGGCTTAGTTAAGAGTGTTTTAATCTTGGAAGTGTCGAAAAATTCATTATAAAATTCGAATATTTTGAATTTAGTTATGGCTATTTCCCGTTCGATTCTATATATCAATTGCAAACCGAAGGACTATATAACTTCTAGCCGAAGTTAGTTTTCTTTCTTGTTTATTTATAACTTTAATCATATGTTTATGATTTCAGACTAAATTACTACAAGCGAATAAATTAAATCAACCTAATCGGTTCCTCGCGACCGTATCTCGGTTTATATTTTAATGTCCGTAATAGATAAATATATGAGGTAAACAAAATCCAAGGCAGTACATATTTAATTATTTATTATTATTATAATTTAATTATTTATATTTTTATTTCAAGCCAATAAAAGAAATCATACAAAATAATACACCTCAAATTCCATTATTAAGAAAGATCCGAAATTTGGATCAAAATTTCGGCTGTGCTAACAACTTCGTTTTTATAATATAGGTTCGCCAAGCCCTTGAGAAATCCTCTTGGCATTATGGACGGCCAATTATCCGTTTGGAAGGTTACGTTTTTAATATAGTATAACCCCTTCGGTACGGGGCATGGTCGGATGTGGACGGGATAATCTGTATTAACTCCGTACTTAAAAGAGGCATCCATGTACTTCCAGTAAGACTCCATGACCTTGCAGATGGGTTGACGAGGGATAAACATTGGCAACTGCTTGAACTCACCATTGCCACTGGGATCACTGAAGCTCTCGGCCGACAACGAGTATAAATCATCACTAAAATCTTTCTTCAATTCTATAGTACCATTGGCAGAGCGTTCGCGACCCAACAAGCGAATTTGGCTTAAATCAACGTAATCGGTTCCTCCCGAATGGTTTATGGATATAAAACGGACTTTATAGTTATTTTTTAACAGCATCTTGAATACAAAATTAAATAATGAAACGGAACCAAATATATTTAGAACCACTTACAAAAGCCTCGCCAAACAGCATCAGTAGAATATAAATCCGAAACTGCACCATAATTTTAGGAATAAAATAGTTACTTTTAAGCAGCACACGGTTTAGATTAATGATTGTTATTTTCTGAACTCATGGGATTTTATACGTTCCCAGCAGGGAAATAAACTATAATCTAACATGGCATTTCATGTTTGGTTAATATTTTAATTATTGACATAGTAAACTGTGTAAAAACTGTGTTATAAATATTGTAGCTAATCATAAATAAGCTTTGATATTATTTAACAGTTGCATAAACCAGTTGCATTAGGTTAAAACCAGTACTTGTCGATCATTTTTATTCTGAAGGTGAGTCTGTACTATCGAGAACTCTGACAGAGGTGTATTGACATTTAAGGTATGGTGTTCGTTGTCGAGGACTCCTCTGAGAGTACATCTAAAGCAATTTTTATTCTTGAATTGCATGTACCACTTGACTTCGTTCTGTAGCTCAAGGATTTGAATTGGACCGAGGCACGATCCCTACACGGTATCACCCCAAACCCAGCACAGCCCGAGCCTGAACCCACAGCATTCCATCCCATTCGAAAAGTGCCTTTCACAGCCCTTTGTTTGGGAGATGAGCTCCTAGGCGCCGGGTCATAACTCTTAGCGGCTGTTGCAGCTATTTGTTCGATTCTGTATACTGTATGCAGTATGGGCAATAAAAATATTGGCCTGCCTTCGCCGGCAAAGGACAAAGGAATTGCACCATAAAATGCATGCATACACAGGAGCGGAATCGGGAAACGGGGAACGTTGAACGGAGTGGAAGACAAAGCCCTACGGATTCCGGGCCCTTTGTCTCTTCGGGCCAAATCCATACGAAACTAGTGCAACACTTTTGGCTTATAGACAGGCCGAAAAGTAAACTGCAAACTGGATAGAGGGTAAGACGGGGAATAAGGCCAAGAAGAGCCGGCCGGCCATTGTCTTCGCAGAAGTCGTTAGTGTGACAGGTTGGATTTGTTTTGTGTACGGTGCCTAAGTCTGTCATCATCATCAGCATAGGACTTGTCTGGCGCCAGCATTAGGGACAATATTTTCGACTAAATATTTCGTCACAGGCCCAGGTAAATACTTGAGAGGGAAACGAGGGCGTAGGCCCCGGAAAAATCGGACATCTCTGCGGGCGCCTATATTTTCGGTTCGTTCGATTTCTCCTCGACCTGCTGCAGTTGCATTGATGATTTATGCACTGGTCCTCGGCTCCGAATTACAGGTGCACGGGGAATATATGTATAAAGGCTCAGGTAGTTCGGAAAAACGATAAATATATTATTAAATGACAGTCCAATAGGCATTTATGCATTAGTTCACTGACACTAGCTATTTTGACAAAACTAAACAGATATGAAACTACTTAAAGCTACAGAAACTAAAGTCTGTTTTCTATTTTGTTTAGTTTTTGTGCTGAAATAAAAAACGTACAATAGGTTTCATTTACATCACCAACATACCCGAAATATTTTAGAAAAACGATAGTGTCACAATTAAATTCCATTCGAATTTACAGGTTGATTTGGTTAAAATGGTCAAATTATTTAACAATATTTGCATGTCGAACAACACGAAAACAAGTTAATAACATGCCGTAATTGGTTAATTAAATGGCACGAAACTACTAATTGATTAAAAAAAACAACGTTATTACAATGTTTACAAAAATGCACAAGTAACTGAAAGTTATCAATACCTTCTAAACATAACAACATATAATATTAGCTTTTGCGTTAATTCAATAATACAATTAGTAAGGTGCATGCAATCAAAATACAATACATTTTTAAATACTTTATCATGTTTTAAATTTGCAACTTGGAACACATTACCAGGTGCGCTTGGCTCCGTGTGGTGGCAATCCTTTGGCATGTGGCACGGATCGAAGCTGCAACATATTGGCACACTTGAACCGAGACCGAATCCCAGGAGCCGGGCACGTGCTCCTTGGCCCACTTGAACCGAACCCGCTGCTGCTCCTGCTCCTGCCACTGGATGAACTTCTGCCGGGTGGGCTGCTCTGAAAAGTTCCCTTACAACAATCGGGGGTTTCTTTTTTCTTAATGCCAAAGAAGTCGCACGCTCTCTATTGGAATTTCCACAATGAGCACACTTGAGATACTGTTCTTACTCCCCCTTTTGTTTTCCTTGGTCGAGACATGCAGAGCAGGGGAGGGCATTGGGCTGGGCTGGTGGGTTGTGAACTTTTCGGCTGGCAAACAATGGCTCAAGTGCTGCTTGCAAAACAAAAAGCGTTTTAAGTTTTAATTACGCCAGGCACAAAAGGCCGCAGGAGTAAACCGCGACACATGGTGGTCCTTTCAAGTGGAAGTGCAACTGGAGGTGGGGCCTTAGAATACTGCACTGACTTGGGACCATATTGACGCCATATCAGAGCCACATTGCAGCCAAAAGGCATCGGAAAGTTTCCTATGTAGAAGCCCCGGCACCTTGCATAAGCCATATCGGCTGCCAAATCTTGAATCATTTCTCAACCCGGTCCTAATCAATTTCCAGCCCTCATCCCCACGAGGGTGCCATCAGCAACTATCTATCGAATACAGGCAGCCATAGCTTGTCAGTGATTAGATTTCTTAACAATGCTACCATGGGCAACAAAGAAAATTATAGGAAACACTTCAATCTTTATAGAAAGTGATACGACTAGGCGTTTCCCTGTAGAAGGGAAAGTAATAGAATATCTATTAAAAAGAGTATTCATTTTAAATATATGTTTGATTATAAAACAAAAGAAAATAACAATAAGACCAGACTTTTTATTTACTTATTCTAAAGACAACTCAATAAAAGTTATAGAATCAATTGAAAAATCAGACCTTACGAGAGCTACGATTATGTTTTAAAATACATACGAGTAGTGATTAAATTGAGACCAGATTTTCTTGATTCCCCCAATAGAATCCACTTGTTAATAAATTTAATCTCTAGTATTTCCATAACTAAGCTCTGGTCTAACCCCCTTTTAATCCGATAAGTAAGGGGTATGTAAAATTGCTCAATTGCTCAACTGATTAGACTTTGTTTTCAATTTGTCTTGCAACCTTTCCATTCACAGTCACCGAAGAAGGTTCCCCGAGCGGTTAAAGCAGTTGAGGCGACATGACAGACGGGGCTGAGCGAGACAGACGCACAGTTTTTAATCAAAATTGTACAGGAAATCAAAAATCAGTTTTCAAAAAATAAAAATCACAGTTTCTTATCGTGATGTTGATTTGTAGCTGCCGTTTGTTGTTCTTTTTCTGCCTTTGTCTTGGGTTTTTGGAGGTAGCGCTTTACCCCAATTGCTCGACCTATCAGAGAATTTTATTATTATTTGGTAGGTAGGCCCTTGGCGTGTAATTTGAGGAAAGCAGCGCTGAAAGCAAACGCAGTAGCTATGAAATCAATTATGCGATAAAGATTTGACAGCACAGCGCACTGAGCTGCGCTGCTGGCACTCGATAATTAATTTTAACGCTTTATCGCAATTGGAGGTGCGCCCCGCACACACCACCGAGGGTGGGGACATTTCTGGTGGTGGGGAGAGTGGGAGGTACTTTGGTTTCGAATCCGAAAGATAGTTGCTGCCGATAGGCGTCCGATTTGATTGAAGTCTGTCTAAAGGCGTTTTGTCTTGGGGCCTCGTCTAATCTGTGACACAATTGGAAAAAGTTATGAGTGTGCCTATGAATTTATAGAGGCCTCTTTGCTTCCCCCCTTTTACACTTGACTAAATAGTAGATTAAATTTGATTTTAAATTTAATTTGAGAAGAAGTAACACTTTCAACAATTATACTAACAAGTCACAATGTTTTGACACTTCCATATCAAATATATTTATGCTCGTTCCCATTAGTTTTGAATTACTTGAGTTGCTTTAAACATTTTTCTTTCCGTGCTTAGACATTCATTTATATATTTATTTGATTCGTTTGTTCTGAGTGAGGTTTTGGGACGATGAGAGAGATGCTTTCCCATGATATGCAAACGAACTCAATTATTTATTTTATCACAAATGATTTTGCTTATCAAATCTAGCAATCGCGTCATCTTTGTCTCTCCCAGAAAACCACAATAACGAAGGGGCAGAAGATGCAGACGAAGGGCAAAGAAGCTGTAGCCGAGAAGAAGACCTTTCTCAGACCCCGACGCTCTTCACTCATCCTCGTCTCCGGTGCGGTGTGCTGTCTCTGGCCTCTTGAGTTTTTCTTACAATTGCTTGGGTACTAGGCTTGGGTTCGGTCCTGATTGAGGCCGCCATTATTCAAGGAGCCCGAGACTCCTTGGGCCTCTCACTCTCTCTTTCCCTGTCGCAGTGGCATCTTTTTTTGGCGCTATCTTTGCGTTGAAATCTCCGCAGTTCATGTCAAATTTCTTGTGTTTTTATATATCATTCGGCTGCCACTGGCGGGGACTGCTTTCCTTGTAAGTATGTAAATGCCTCGCAGGCTGCAGCTGCATTTTGCATTTTGTATCCCCTTCCCCTGAACTCCAGGTCTCCATCTAGCTTTGAGTGATTGTCGAGGGTTTATCTTCTGATGGGGCCTGGCTTCTGTTGCCGCAGATACGGGGCTCGTGCATCTGTATCTGAATCTGCATCTGTATCTGTATCTGTATATGTGTCTTTGGGGGCTGCAGCGGAGTCTTGTTAATTAAGTTTCAAGCAGGTTCCCTTTGGGCGTTGCTCGAAAGTCAATTTTTAGCACCTATTGACATGCAAAGGACCCGCATGCCACACACACACTTATTCCTGTGAAAGCGAGAGATACAGATACATTTAGTGATGGGAGTGATTTTTACTCAAATGAGGTACAGGCTATAAGACAAGAATAGATATCTTTGATTTAAGTAATACATTTTATTAGTCATATAATTAATAAGTTTAGTAAACATATTAATAGAGTTATGTCTAAGGTAATATATATATACCAAAAACTACTTTTAGGTAAACATTTTACCCTCTTGCAGTATCTTTTAAGGTACCACAATTTGCCAAAACACTCATCACTGTCGACAGATACAAATATAGAC